ACGTGTGCAGAAGTTGGTTTTGATAAATCTGTTTTAGGAAATAAACGGGATTGTACTGAACCGGGTTTCATAATGTTAAACCGGGAAAAAAAAACAAACCCTAATCATCAGCGGACCCGGAGGAGCTAACGCTCGAAACAGATCCCGATCCGGAATTCTGCTAATTCTGTTGAATTCTCTATCTGGAGTCCACTTTTTCTTTTCCCTCTCTCTGAAATGCCTGCTTGGTGGGCGAGAAAGTCTGGAAAAACCAAGGATGATAGTCATAACCAGAGTCCTCGTGGAGCCGACAAGAGAAACAAGGAAGTCATCTCCGACGAGAATAAGACCAGCTTCGATGAGGCGGTGACTCCCACGCGCGGTACTCCACGTTGTAGCCGCGATTTCGCGGGCTTCGATTCGGACTCCGGCGAGAGGCGAGGACACCCACTTCTCCGACCGTCGGTTTCTTCGGTCCACAGCGATCATGGGAGCGGGTCGGGTTCCGGATCGAGATCTGTTTCGAGTGTTAGCTTTTTTTCTCGGTTTAACATTATGAAACCCGGTTCAGTACAATCCCGTTTATTTCCTAAAACAGATTTATCAAAACCAACTTCTGCACACGTGGAAATAAAAACTGATGTGGCTCCGCACATCACAATCCACGTAGGATTGAGTTTCAGTCAATATTGGTCAAATATTCATCTGACACTTTTTAACAAGATTAGGATTTATTTAGACACTTTTTGCAAGTTCAGGAATTATTTGGCACCCTCGCAAGTTCAAGAATTTTTTTTCTCGCACTTTGCAAGTTCAGGAATTTTTAGGGGTTTTTCCCTTTATATTATATAATGTATAATATATTTATTTTTTCGGGCCGACCCGATGGACGACCGGGCTTCAATTTCTTAGGTCCAAGCCCGTAAATTTTACGAGTGGGTTCAGGCCGGATAACGGGCATCAAAAATGCCCTTAAAATGCTACTTGTACATCATGGAGTATCCTTCTATCAGAAAAAAATACCCCCTTCAGATATACCCTTCCCATATGTACAATTTCAATTATACCCTTATATTATAAAACAAATAAAAATAATAATTTCCCTCCTAAAAAGCAGTGTCGATTTTTCTCTCCTCATTATCAGTTTTCATTCTCTCTCCTCCAGCATTTGCGCTCCCTCTCTCCTCCGTTTGCTCTCTCCCTCCGTTTGCTCTCTCTCTCTTTTCCAATTTGAACTCTATCTCCGCCGCCACCGATTTGCTCTCTCTCCCCATCGATTCTGCCGCCGATTTGCTCTCTCTCTTTCTCCATCGATTTGCTCTGTATCTCTTCCGATTTGGTTGCTCTCCCTTCAGATTTGGTCTCTGTGTCCTCACATTTGCTTCATTTATCCGATTTACTTGCTCTCTATTCGATAATTTGCAAAGCTGCTTCAAATCTCGTGGAAATAGGTAAGTTTCGACTTAAATACTGTTATTCTGTGGATTTTTTCTTGTTTTTGAGTTGTTTACTGTGTTTTGTGAGGGAAAATCGAGTCACATGAGACATTTGGACATATGAGACATATGAGTTACATGAGTTACACAATCATATGAGTCACATATATCACATGGGACAGACACATGGGTCACATGGATCATGGGTCACATGGATCACATGGGTCACGGGTCACATGGGTCACATGGGTCACATGGGTCATGGGTCACATGGGTCACTTAGGTCACATGGGTCGAATTTAACGAATTAGTGGCTTGTCATGGTTATGTAGTGATTAATCATGGTTTTTAAATCAATAACAACTTCAAAATCATGTTCGTTTCAATTTTCATATTCATTCTGGTAACGTGTCATTCGGTTTGTAAATTTTTTTTACAGGTATAATGGATGTAATGGAGAGAACTACAATTATTTATTTTCTCTGTGAAGGAGAATGGATTGTGAATAAGAACGGAGAATACGAATGGAACGGGAGAGTTATGGACAACCAAAGATTGTTGTTCTTTTGTCCTCCAACTGAGGTAACATATGAGCAACTTGTTGAAGAGTTATATTCTGAGATGGCAACAGACAAAGATAAAACGAAGATCAAACTAAGCTATTTACCGAATGTAAAAGAAAACAGAAAGCCCACATACCTTTTGAATGACAAGCATATTCACATTTATCTCCTGGACAGAATAAGTGGAATGAGAGGCATGCTTTATGTGGAGAAAGTACATGTATATGTCAAAACAGAATGTGAAAAAGATGTCGAGGATGAAGCTATAATACCTGCTTATGAAAGTGTTGTTAGAGGCGATGAGAATCGATGTGAGGTGGATTTTGATGATTGTGTGTTACAGAACCTTGGTTTTAATAGTAGAGTTGGAAGTAATGTGGTAGAAGTTATAGATATTTCGGATAGTGAACAGTCAAATGGTTTAAGAGAATGTGGGACGATTGGTTGTGGTGATGGTGATGGTGATAATAATTTGGCTTTGATGGTGGTTGATGACTCATTGTTTTCGAATTCTATATTCACATTCAGTGATGGATTGAATATAAGACCTGGCCATGAGTTCGACAGTAAGGAATCGGCCCAGGAATATGTACGAAAGGGTGCAACACTGGGTCGTTTTAATTATACAACTGTGAAGTCTGATAAGAAGTTATGGAAAGTAAGATGCAAGTTTGCAAGATCGGGTTGTAAGTGGAAATTGCATGTGGCAATGATCCAAAAGTCCAAATGTTTTAGTGTGAGAACACACGATCCAATTCATAGTTGCAAACCTGTATGTGAAACAAGCGATACCATGAAGGGTACATCAAAGCTAGTTAAAGACTATTTGAAGGAAGAATATCTGGGTAAATTCGAGACGCCTACAGCAAGTGAATTAGTAGAACACGTCAAAAGCAAGTATGGACTTACTGTGTCATATTTGATGGCATTAAGAGGCAAGCATAGTGCAGAAAGTGAGATTTGTGGTGACCCTTGTGACCATTACAGTAGACTTCCAAAGTGGTTGCACATGTTGATCAAAAGAAATCCCGGGACGCATGCGAGTCTTAGCTTGGACGATGATGACAGATTTAAATATGTCTTTATCGCTTTGAATGCAGCTATAAAAGGATGAAAATATTTGCGTAAAGTGGTTGCGATTGACGCAACGTTTCTAACAGGGTCGTACAAGGGTGCATTGGTTGTTGCAACTGCACAAGATGGTGATCATCACCAATATCCTTTGGTTTGGGGTATAATCGATAGAGAAAAGGATGCATTATGGACATGGTTTATGGAAAGATTGAAAGATGCAATACCAGATGGACCTGATGTCGTTGTGTTATCCGATCAGTATAGAAGCATAATTAAGGCTATTAGAGAAGTGTACAAGGAAGCTGGCCACGGTTTTTGTGTAAGACACATCGCACAAAATATAAAAGTCAAGGTTAATAAAGGCGTGGGAAGAAAGAATAATATAGATGAATCTGTTGCTTCACTATTCTACAAATGCGCAGAAGCTTGCGGTTTAATGATTTGAAAGTCAGGTATGTTATCTGTGACCCATGTGACCCATGTGACCTACGTGACCAATGTGACCCATGTGCATATGTCGTGCAGGTTTCTCAAGTTTGCGGAGTATATGCAGAAAGAAGAACTTGATCCCGAGAAATGGGCAAGGGCAAAATTTACACGTCAAATGTATAATCTATTGACTACAAATGGGGCCGAATCGATTAACTCCGTATTGAAGAAAGCAAAAAGGTTTCCGTTGCTTGGGTTGCTTGATATTTGTCTTGGAAAGATCGTGGAATGGTTCAATAGGCATAGAATGGAAGCAGGTTCAACTGATAACTCTCATAAGCTGACACCGTTTATTGATAAAGTGCTTCAAGAGCGGTACGAGATAGCATGTACATATGAGGTAACTGTGTTGAACAGTTTTACGGACGAGTTTGAGGTGAGAGATAAAATGGGTAAGAAACACTTGGTGAGTCTAGGGGATAGATCATGCAGTTGTAAGATGTTTGACATAGACAAATATCCATGCAGTCACACAATCGCAGCAGTCCACAAGACTGCAAAGGCAAGATTATACCGTACTTATGCTCTCCATACTTTCTCCGGGAGACATGGCGGTTGGCTTATCAAGAAACGGTTTATCCGATTCCTGATTGTTGTGATTGGATCATTGACGACCTACGGGATGCAAACCTCGTGGTATTACCTCCGATTGTGGAAGATAAACGCAAAACCGGTAGACCCAAACAAAATCGGTTTCCAGGCCCCAGCGAACCGCGGACAAAGCGTTCAAAGAAGGGCAAATAAAGATATTGCATAAATAATATGATTGTATGATTTCATGTAGTTCTCGTGACCTATGTGATTGTATACATTTTCCAGAAGGACATCTATTTGAATAAGGTGATTTTCTTTGCACTAGTACCGTGTTAAAGTCTTGAATAGATAGAAAAATGTTTTGAACTGTGTGACCCATATGACTCACCCGTGACCCATGTGACCCGAAGATATTTTTACACTGTGTGATCCATGTGATCCGTGACTTAGTGGCACTTATAAAACACAGTCAAATCTCGATTTTAAAGTGTTAAAATGGTTTATATGATGTTTTACAATGATAATATGGTATCTGCAAGTTAAATTCGTTAACATAAGTAAGAGTTATATGAACATTAGTACAATTTGTTCATAAGTTGTCATGAAACACTAGTATCACTTATGGATTACATTTGCATGAATGATTTGGATATGAAAATTGAAACAAATATGATTTTAAAGTTGTTATTGATGTTAAAATCCATGATTAATCACTGCATAACCATGCCAAGTCACTAATTCGATAAATTCGACCCATGTGACCTATGTGACCCATGTGACTGACCCGTGACCCGTGTGATCCATGTGACCCGGGTGACCCATTGGACTTATATTTTTTTTCTTTCTCATTTCCAAGTAAAAGTAAAATCCAAAAATACGAAAGAGTTTACAAAAACTGAGTTTACAAACTACGAAAGAGTTCACAATAAATAACGGGTCAGTTCACAGTTTTACCATTACAAAATATATCGATAGCCAATTTTTCACGGATCAATGGTATGGTCCCATCGCATATCGACATGAATTATGCTCCCTTGTTCAACATTATTCCCTCCACGTATTTTGCAGCATAGACACCGGAATCAGAACCTGTTGCATTTTCATGAAGCCCAATCTTGCACTGAACCTCAATCAAATCTCCTTCACGGAACAATTTTGTCTTAGCAAGGATGTATGCATGCGGTATGAGATGAGCTAACTTCTGAACAACCTTATCCACATTCTCCCGCAGTCTCGGTTGGCAATTGTATACTTTAAGTACTTTGTCCCTCATATCCACTTTAATGGCAACCCTATGATAGGGAATCTTGGGGTTTTCTGGCAGTGCGGGTGAAGGGATGTTCACAACAGTTAGAAGAACATCATACTTCTGCAACGGCTTACGTACACCTCCAACTGGACATTTTCCGGAGAAGTATTTCTCAAGACAACCCAGCTTGAACAGGTCCCTACTCTCTTCCCACCGCATGATGGTCTTCGAGAAGTATAGATCACATATGCAACAGTTAGAGATCACAGTTTTACTGGAGTACTTCGAATAGTTGCACCGAAACGCACACATTGCCTCTTCTATATGCTGTCAAAGAAAAACAAAAACATGTTAGAGATGACCCGTGTGACTCGTGACCTATTTAATGGAGCCTTACCTCATCAGTGAGCCATTTTCCGCCCTCCAAAATAGTTTCAAAAAACTTTGAATCTCTAGTTGCATTCAAATTAGACTTCCATAGCCTTTTCTCTCGGGACATATTCATAAATTTCCAAAGAATGCTCGCTTTTAGAGTGGATGATGAAAGAAAGGATGTCGTCCTTACGAGGTTGTCACCATTAACTCCTTCAGGTTGTCAGACAAAGTATGCAACCTCAGATTCTTCGCATTCTGATTCTGGTTTCTTTGGTTCTTCATGTTGTTGTGTACCCCTGCCTCCGCTACTTCTTCTGCTCCTTCCTCTCCCCCTTCCCATTCTTCCTCTACCTCTGACAAGTGTCTTGCAACGTTTATTCTTTGCAGGGGGTTCACTCGATTTTGGTTCAACATATGGACTTCTTTTTGCGGGCCCTTGTCTTTGTTTTCTTTTCAAAGGAAATCTGAGTGATGAAGATTCAGAGCTAGAGTTACCTTCTGCGGTACCAGACGTTAGGACTGCTTGAGAGACTTCCTTTGGGGTTTAGATGGGGCTATGTCATCCTGGCCTTCTATTGGGGTTTCAGAAAGTTTTGGGAGATTCAAATCAACAATCTCAGCCTCTAAACCCTCCTCACAAGCATGAGGGAGATCCACATCAACATTCTCACCCTTAGAACCTTCGTCACAAGCTTGAGGCAGATCCACATCAACATTCCCACCCTTAGAACCCTCGTCACAAGCTTGAGGCAGATCCACATCAGTATTCTCACCCTTAGAACCCTCGTCACAAGCTTGAGGGATATCCACATCAGCATTGTCAGCCTTAGAACCCTGCTCAGAAGCTTGAGGAAGATCCACATCATCATTCGCAGCCTTGTCACCTTTCTCAACAGCTTCACGGAGATCCACATCAACATTCCCAGTTTGAGGGACATCCATAAAAACATCCGCTCCTCCAGTATGGTCTTTAGAAGTTGCAGTGTCCCCCCACACATCATCATTCCTAGGTTGCACTCTATACGAATAGTTCGCAGAGAAATGACCAGACTGTTTCAGAATATCTTTAAGACAAGCAATTAACCTCATCTCAGATGCTTGGATCGCTTGACCCATGTGATCAATGATCCTCGCCTCGGATGCTTTGATCTCCTGCTTAATGAACTTCTCTAATGCATCCACTCTTGAAACTGCTGATCCTCGCATTCTTGGAGGTTCCCTCAACCTGAGTCTCTTCTTCTTGAATTTCTTCTTGTTCTTCTTCTATTTCTTCATCATCATCTTCTTCAACTATCTTAGCTTTTCCCTTTTTCAAAGAAGTTCTGCATCTGGCATCAAGCTCAAAATGCTATCCCAATAAATGCTTTGCGGATTCAACTGCAAATGTTGCATCCATACACTGATATTTGGATCACTACTTCCCTTGTAATTCTCCAGATCATACAGAAGTGCTTCTTCATCCTTTCCCACTTGTAGAATACTTTTAATACCCTGAAATAAAAAAAAATGTCACTTTTGATCCGTGTGACCCATATGACTCATGTGACCCGTGACCCAAGTGACCCATGTGACCCGTGTCCCATGTGACCCATGTGACTCATGACCCGTGACCCGTACATGTGATTCAATTCCAATCTTTTCCATTACAGCAGGGAAGGTTCATCTAAGCCCGGGTTTGATTACCCTCTTGCACATTCTAGGACAGTTTAGGTCTGCACCTGGAACATCTATGTACCACCCATTGGAACCCAAGCTTTTAATGCACTCAAAAGGCATCAACTGCAATATAAAAAAAGTAATCAAATCAATCCAACTTTCAAATAATTTCCTCGTAATTTAATAAATAACTTACCATTAGAGGGATTATAAACCCCGGACAATGCCATTTTGTCTTTGGTTTCGCACCGAGACTCTTTCGCACTTGATCAACTATTCGATCAAAAGTGTATCGACCCCACGGAAATCGTTCACATAAACGTAAATTATCAACCATGTCGAACAAATCACGGCTGATTTGTTCGGATGACAGGGCATGATCCAAGATTCCGGCCATCAAGAAGAAAATAACCAATCTCTTACGATCTGATGCCCTCTGGGTTGACATATATCTCAATTTCTCCACCACATCATTCAAACAAACCTTCTTACGTCCGAAAGTCTTTTTCCTGAACTCACTCTTTTTGAAGCTCTCACATTCTTCTGGATATTTTCTACACTTCAAACCACATATAACTGCATGCTCAATGATTGAGTACCTCACGAGCACACCATTGAGCACGAACCACAATTCCTTCTCGTCTTCCGCTTTAACAGAGCGGTTAATGAGAACTCTCGTATGCGCCATATTTAACTGTAGATCCCATTGTGCGTGGAATAGATGTTGGAACTGTGATTCTTTCTCGAAGTACGTCCATCCATCCTGTGTCAGTACTTCTTTAAGCGTCTTCAGTGTCTCATAGGGATAACACTTCGTATTGATCTTCGAAGAAAACTGAATGTCTTCGAATTTGTAGACAAATGGAAGCTGCAAAATAAAATAATTGTTCGTCATTGTGATCTTTGTGACCTGGGACCTGAGACCCGTGGCTCATGTGACCTATGTGACCCATGACCCATTTGACCCATGACTCGTGACCCGTGTGACTCGTGTGCGGTGTTGTGAGTTATATCATACTATTACCATATAAATCTCTGTGACCCATGTGACCTGTGATCCACATGACCTTGCGAGTTAGGAAATCATTAAACTTGCTAAGGTATTCCGAAATCTCACACCCACACTCTAACTTTCTATTTCGAATTCCTAAAACCCAAATTATATATTTCAAAACACATAACCCTAACTTTATATTCAGAAATCCCAAAACTTTAATTTTCAATTTCGAAATCCCTAAACCCTAAATTCCTATTTTGAAATCCCAAATCATCCAACAAGTTTAATGATTTTACTCCATGATCAGATCATAGAAGAAAAAAACAGAGAAGAAGATGTAGACAAACTTACCGTTTCTAATGGAAGATCTTTGTCCGACGATGACGGCGATGAACCGACCTGAGACGCAGATGAAGACGAAGCAGAAGACACATGTGTTCTTAGATCCATGGGTGTTTGATTTTTCACACAAATCACAAGAGAGATACCGAAATTGCAAGGAAAATGACATCACTTCTCTGAAAATTTCGAAAGAGAAATCGCGCAAGAGAGAGAGAGAGTTCTCGAAATGCTGCAAGAGAGAGAGAGAGAGATCAGGTTGCAAGAGAGAGTGGGAGTTTACCGAAAGAGAGAGAGAGAGCATTTATTTTAATTCTTAAAAAGTTAGCCGTTTTTTAGTCGAAAAGGTATGGTCCTTTTCGTCTTTCATTTAAAATTCAGGGATATATATGTCTTTAACTCATTTCAATTTTTATTTTTTTTAGATTTATTTTTTAGATGGGTAGGCTATAAAGTAAGGGGTAGCATTTTAAGGGCATTTCTGCTATATTCCCTGTTGAATGGATGAAGTTTTTATTTTGAGTTTTTGGATTTAGTTTTGGTTTTTAGATTTTAGTTTTTTATTTTTATAGATTTGTAAATCTAAAAAAAATGTAGTTTTTTAGTTATTTTTTTTCCATAAAATAGTTTCCTCATGTTTAGAAAAACTAAATTTAAAAAACTTTGTTTGATAATTTTTTGAAGTTTTTAAAATTTAAAAACTCCAAAAGTTCTTTCCATTCAAGAAATATATTTCAATTTCACGTTGTCTTTGGAAAAATTAAATCATTTTCCTATTTTGTTAATATATTTAAATATTATATATAGATATACTGTTATTATCTAGACCATAGTTTTTCAAGATGGATTGTAATTCTAAACTCTAGTTTTGAGATTTTTATTTAATAAATATATTAAAATATAGTAAAAGTCTAAAAATCATATTTTTTTTTGTAAAATAAAAATCCATATCTTTAATATTATATTAAGGGCGTTAATAGATAATTATGTAATAATAATATCGAGAAAGAGGTGAGAAATTTAGAAATCGAAACCGTGGATCGAACCACCGACAAAAAAACAGAGATATCGATCGAAGATCGACCATCTGCGATTCACTGTTTCCATTGACCGCTTCAGATTCGTGCTCTCTCTCGCCGGCGACATGAGTTCTCCGGTACTGAATCTATATCCCCTTCCCTCAGATCTTCGAAATCGCTTGATGGTTTCGACGATTTTATCTTTCGAATCGCATTGCTTGATCGATCCAGCATTTCGATATGGTCATTCTGTTGTGTCTTTCAGGGAACGAGCATGTTCACCGGGTTCACCAAGCTCTGCAAGGGACTCGCTGTGGTGCTTGTTGCTGGGCACATCGTGGTTCGGTTGATTCCTGCTTCTGTTCCATATCTCGCTCTGATTCCGTCGAGGTTCTTCGCTTTCTCCCTTCTCAATTTATGTATTTGTCTGAGGATATGTTAGGATTGAGATCTGGGTATTGAATGAGTAGATCATCAATGGTTGTTTTTGTTTTCCAAGTTTTTCTCTGCTTTGGCTGGAGCCTTTGTTAATCTGATGCGTTAGATAGATCACATTCTTGTCTAGTACCTGGAAATATATGGATCATTTAAGACTTGGGTTTTGAACGAGTAGAGTCACTGTTAGATTTCTCTGTGTAGTACTGCTTTTTTACGAAAACTTTTGTAAACCATTTGCCACACCCATGATCCAACAAGCACTGCTCTGTGTAGAACTAATCGCCACTAATACTATCTTAAATGAATATGATTGGAAAATTTTCATGCTGAAAGATATGGCGTGTTGGTACACAACAGAGGAGTGCTTTTTGGATCATGGGTGTTGCAAATGGTTTTGGATGTTATATTCATCGAGTCTGGCTTTGACATGTACCCCATTGTATTGCCCCTTGTATCGGGATTCTGACTTGTTACATTCTTTTCTCTGTATCCATTCTACATTATAGGACTATTCCTTTTGCCTGGAATCTGATAACAGCTGGTTACCTTGAGTTGACAATATATGGGGTATGTAGTGTTTTTTTCCCTAAGTTTGTTTGTTTCCTCTCATTGCTGATTTTCTTGCCTATAGTATATTCGAGTGACTTGTACTCAATCTTTCAGGTTGTCTTCAGCACCCTTGGTCTCCTCTTTATGGGGAAGTTGCTCGAACCTGTCTGGGGTTCCAAAGAATTCCTGAAGTTCATCTTTGTGGTGAACATTCTCACGTCTCTCTGTGTTTTCGTCACTGCTATTGCCTTGTACTACATAACGAGGGTGGAGAATTACCTGTAATTATCCTCACACCTTTTGGATTATTAAGTTTTTGCTGCTTTATTTTCTCGGTAAATTAAATGGGAGGAATGGCCTATGTTATGTAAACTAAAATCTGCTTTGCAACCCTTTGCTTGACAGCTGAATTTTATGTTACCATGTTTGGTTCATGCGTGATTGTTTTATTTCGACTTTACCGCTATATAACAAGTCTTGTCTACTGTTTTCCTGTCTAGATATATGCCCCTTGCGGGCTTTCATGGTGTCTTGGCGGCTCTGCTGGTTGGGATAAAGCAAATAATACCTGACCAGGAACTATCGTTGTTGAGGATTAAAGCAAAGGTATCCAATTTTCCTTTTAATTAAGAAATCATAGAGATTTATCATCCATTTTCTCGTTTTGTTGTTTTGCATTAATTTTGGCTAGTTGGAGAATTTCTCACTCCTACTCTTGCTTTTACTTCCTGTGTTCAGTGGTTGCCTTCTATTATGCTTCTCCTGTCAATAGTTTCAAGCTTCTTCACATTGGAATCGGCAGCATATCTTCCCACTTTGATATTTGGTACATATATGGGTTGGTTATACCTCAGATACCTACAGAGGAGGCCAGAAACGAAGCTCAGAGGTGATCCAAGCGATGACTTTGCCTTCTCTACTTTCTTTCCAGAGTTTCTAAGGTGAGAGAATAATCTTTGTGAACTACAGTTTCGAGTTTCGTCCTTAAAACATGAATCTTTTTTCTACTTCACACATCTGTCGGTAAACGTTTTCTTCACAATGAAATGCAGACCGGTTATTGACCCTATTGCCACAATCTTCCACCGGATGCTTTGTGGACGTTCGGATGCCTCTGCAGAGGGCCATGGTTACACTCTGGGAGGTGCTCCATTGCCAGGTTCTGATCCTGTTGAGGCATCCAGAAGGAGGTAACTTTCTCTTTCTTTCCTTTTAGTTTGTTGCATGATCTACCTTTGTTTGTTATTTTCATGCAGCGACCATGCAAACTTTGCCGACTTAGCACAAACCATGAGTCCCCGTTTACATGTCGTACATCTTACAATAATTCTCAATCAGCTTGGAATTTTCACATCCCTCTTATCAAAATACAACAGCTAAGGATTACTTGATGTGAAACTGATGGATTATGATTGTTCCAATGGACCTCAAAATCTTGAACTTAATGCTGGTTATCTAAATGGCTTGGTTCCGGGAAAGAGACGGAGTAGGGCCTTTTCTGCTTAATACCTGGTTGCAAGTAGCAACCTTTTCTTCTCTTCCCGCATGTTCTTGTTCTGTTAAACGTGTGTTGTCCCGACAAGAGATCTGTATTTGCAGAGAAAGAGGGGCAAGGGCTCTCGAGGAGAGACTAGCGGCGGACAGCTTGGCCGCTGGAAGGAGCAAAGACGAGTCACATGAGGATGCGTCGGAGAACGTCTGAGCATTTGCTTGACTGAAACTGCAAGTTAACTTTCCTAAGAGTATCTAGAAAGACAGCCACAGTTTTTGTTCTAAAGGTTTGATGTGGATGGAATAGGGCTTTGTACAAAACGATCATATCCTGTATTTGGTTGGTGGGTTTTTTTTTTTAGATTCCGACAGATTCTTTGAATCTCTTCGTGTCATAGTTCGGACATCATTTTTAGTGTTCTTGTTACTGCCATGGACACTGTCTCTCACCATAGTGCTTTTGGCAATGCAAACTACGCATGTCGAGGAAAAAAAATTATCATGCTTTACCCATCTCGGCTAGCTCAACTGGTGAAACGGGGATGCAAAGCACTTCTCCCGCCCCAAGTTCGATTCCCAGGGTGGGGAAGGAAGCGAATATTTCAAAGTACATGGTTTGCTCCCGATCCGGAGATTAGTCTGGGCTTCGGCCCAGGACGCTCCGTTATCAAAAAAAAAAAATTACAATGCTTTCATTAGAAAAAGTACATGAGGGAAAAAGATGAGCAGCATATCATTGTTCTAGATTTTGTAGATTTTGACTATATATATATATATATATATATTTTAAATGAAATTAATTTTAATTTTTGTTATCATATTTGTTTTGGTGTATTTTTAGCCTAAAAGAGAGCCTAATTTTTTTTCTTTTTGTTTAAATTTGCTTAAATTTTCGGTTCTCTTCCATCTAATAGCAAATCGTTTATAAATATAATAATTTCATGAGTACAATTATTTTAAAAAAACAGGCGGTTAGAGAATAAAGAAAATAATGAGGAAATAAGTAACGAATCTAACAATCTGAGTAGATTCCAAGGCAGCTCCATGCATATATATGGGTCCCATTTATTCGGTGCTTTACTTTTTTTTTTTCGCTTCTTTCCAAATACATAGTAATAATATATAATTTATTTTTCCTAAATTATTATCAGTATCTACGAAAATAATACGCAATCCAATTTATATATCAAATTACTCGAATATTGAGTATTAGAACGATTTTAAACTGAGTCTTGATTCTTGTGAGTTGTATGATTATAGATAGACATTTAGATTCCACTAATAAAATAAAAAGGGATTAGATATCTTATCTACAAATTCTCGGACACAATCTACATTAGAAAATATTTATATATTAAAATAAATAACATAATAGTGTTTCCACATTTTGTTGGTCTGCGAATAATTTATCAACCCCGTGATTATAACATATTTAAATCCAAAATCTTAAAATCATGCTTGTTTGAATATGTTCATAACAGATATTTAATAGACAATATCATTTTTATGGATAATAATTTTAAATTTATTTGTTTTGAGTACTTATCAAAATATCAAAATTTCAATAGTAGAGAAACTGAAATTTTCGTATTAATAGCGCAATAAATAGTGACTGAATATTCCATTGAGTATTTAATTTTGGGCAGTTTCCACTTTTTTTCTTTCTTTTTGCCCTTTTCAAAGCGTTCTTCGTGTTCTCCTGGCCACCCTTTGCAAATCGCCTCCACCAACCTCACATTTGCCGCCTCTCTCTCTCTCTCTCTCTCTCGCTTGATCCAGTCATGTTCTTGTAAGAAGACAGAGAGTTGTGTCTGACCCATTTCCCTTTTCGCGATCCCCTGTCGCATTCTCAATTGGGTAATCCTCCATTCTTACATCTCTTGAGCTTGTCTCCTGCAATTTCGGAAGTTGCTCTGTTCCTCGTTGTTTTTGTTTTTGGTAAAGAGTTAATTATAGCTTGCATGTGCCGATTACGAAGTTTTGTTAAATTTGTATCAAAGGAATGGAATTTCGTATTCCACAAAAAAAAAGGAGAATAATTTCGTATTTTTTTGCTGATACGGAATCGGCAAACGAGTGTGGTTCCTAAGATTAACCAAAGGATTGATCCCAATGGCATGTTCAATGTTTGTATTATAGCGAACGAGATCCTTTTCATGTTACAGCTTACAAGGTTATTGCTCCTAGAAATTCATTGTAGCAAGCAACCTTTGTTCCTGCGTCTTGTCTGTTTTAGACATGGGGGGGACTTTTTCATAGAGATGGAGATGGTGTGCTTGATTGGTAAGCAAGTTTGGTTAAGGATCCTTCAGTGGGAATATGAAGAATATCATTTGAATTGCCTGATTCGAAGTGGTTTTTGAGCTTAGGATCTGTAAACATCGAATGACTAGCATCTTGCGTCTTTTCTGTTTTAGACATGGTGGAATTTTCGCATGGTGATGGTGTACTTGATTGGTAAGCAAGTCTGGTTATGGCTCCTTAAGCGGAAATATGAAGAATGTCCTTGAATCGCTTGTTCCAAGTGGTTTCAAGCTTAGGATCTGTAAACCTCGAAATGACTCAGGTGTTGAATGTTGTCATCGTGGTGCCTCAGTTAAATTGTTTCGCGAAATATGTTCTGTTTTTTTCTCTCTCTGTGCATGAGTTAAATGGACGAGATTACAACTGTGACATTGATTCCCTCCAATGAATAGGAAAGAAATGGTTGTGATTCTTTGTCAGTTGATATGAGCCAAAAGATTTTTATTTTATTTACCTTGATTCTGTTCTTGCAATTGAGTCGTAGAGGATCAGATGAAGAATATCAGTGAGTTGCTTGGTTTCATGTGGGTTTGAGATTAGGATACTAACAATGACTCAGGTGGAAAACATTGTCTATCTTTTGTCTCCATTAAGCATTCATCAACTGGTTTGTGTTATACGTTTAGTTATCTTTCTATTTGCCAATTATTTGAATGAGATGATAATTGGAGTTGATTTGCTATCAGTTAGTAGGAAAGAAAAATGGCTATGGTACCGCCCCTTTAGCAAGAGACATGAATCTGTCTCATTTTGCGATATTTGATTTCTTTCAGGGTTTAAAGACGGGGTTGGAAAGTCACATTGACTGTGCCTCCCCTTCAGCAAGAGAAATGAATTTCTCTTTGTGCTCAACCTCTCCAGAGCTTCCATATCCTATCGACATTCATTCGAGAATACCGGATGGAAATCTGTTATTAACTACTGATTTTGTCAAGGTTAATAAAATATCAAAGAAGGGATACATCAACTTACCCGGACGTGCTGTGAGAAAGGTTCTGGCATCCAGCCATCTAGTTCCCGGACACCTGGAAGACTCGTCAATTACAACGGGGAGGAAATCATTGGGAGAGCCCAGAAGGAAGCTCAACTTTGTGAGGACGTTGCTAATTGACAATTATGATAGTTATACATACAATATATATCAAGCACTCAGTACTATTAATGGAGGTAAGCTCTTATTTTAATCTCTCCTTCTCTCTCTGTCTCTGTCTCTGTCTCTCTCTCTCTCTCTCTGTGAAGCTTCTTCACTTGTTAACTTCCTTTATTATTTCTAGTGCCTCCTGTGGTTGTTCGAAATGACGAGTGGACATGGGAAGAAGCTTACCGTTACTTATATGAAGAGTTTGCTTTCGATAATATTGTTCTATCACCTGGACCTGGTTCTCCAAGTTGCTCAACAGATATAGGTATGGGCAATTGAATTTCATCAACATCTCTGTGATCATAAGCCCATTTTTTGTTTTGACGGGCTGCCTTTCGACTTTTACGGTGGATATGTTGGCTGTATCGGGTATGTGTTAATGCCATCTATCATCATCATCATCATCTATGTGGTGAATCTCTTCCATTATCTTTACTCATGCTCCATATTATCTGTCGATTTTAAGTGGGGTGTTCCTTAAATATAAGTTTGCTTCTAGTCCTACATTTTGTATGCAATCAATATCTAAATCGATCATTGCTGCAGGTACGATCTTAAAGTTGAATGTGGCGTTTCATCTAATCGTCACAATGCCGAGATATACCTATTCTAGGCGTCTGCCTTGGCCACCAGGTATTCGATTTCACTACTGTGAGAATTTGCTACTCAATGAAGTGCCTTCCAGAGGCAATTCGTCTTTTGAAGCTATTACTGATATTTTCTCTGAATTTTTTTTTGTAACCCTTTTCTCTATAGTCATGAAAATGAATAGCTTCTCTCTCTCTAGATTTCTGTTTAACAAAGATGTGTTATGCTTTAACAGGCACTTGGCTATGTCCATGGAGCTCATGTGGTGCATGCCCCTGAACCAGTCCATGGACGTTTAAGGTATTGTTGAATGTAACTTCAGTTTATTTGGATTGATTCATGCTTTTCTCTGTGCCTTTAGACAAACGGGTCATTTTTTTCTCCTGAAATGAATTCTGCTGACAAAAGCTAATGGAAAATTCATTAGGTGATTGTACTTCTCACCGTTGTGATCTCCATTATGCAGTGGAATTGAGCATGATGGAAACATATTGTTTTCTCACATTCCATCCGGGAGAAACTCTGATTTCAAGGTAATTCAGTTTTTGTTTTTGCCTCCGGTATATGAACATCTCTAGAGGTATGGGTTACAAATTTCCATTGGAACATCAATTCTGCAGGTTGTTAGATATCATTCTCTTATCATAGACCCGGAATCTCTGCCAAAAGAACTTGTACCTATTGCATGGACAACTTCTGATGACACCGGTTCTTTCTCTGAGAAGAACAAGTTTAATAACATGGGGACCTTGCCAGGGGGTGAATCGGTCATTTCTGTTTCAGAAAAGTCAGAAAATGGAAAACCCCGGTCTTCATCCAAATCGGAAGGCAGAAAAAATGGGCGCATTCTCATGGGCATCAAGCATTCTACATTTCCCCATTATGGTGTGCAGGTCTGATTATTCAAGGTGTTATTTGAAATGAATTTTCTTTGCGTTTTCTTTTTCTTTAATGTGCTTCTGGTTTCCAGTTTCATCCAGAGAGTGTTGCTACCAGTTACGGAAGACAAATATTCAAAAATTTCAGGGAGATAACTGAGGATTATTGGAGGGGGTGCAGATCTAAATCTTTGCATTTCAGAAACATAAATGACACTGGTAAAATAGAGCTCTTTTCAAGAATTAGATTCTTAAATGTTTATATTCTTATATGGGTTTGGTATATTCTTCCTCTTTACTCATTGCCCATTTTGAGAACTCTCATTGGGTGGTCTCGGAAGTGGCTAGTGATCGTGTTACGGTTTTGACTGCAGGTTTGTGCACTTTTTCTGACTAGTAAATCTTGTTTTAGCAAACATGCAGGTGCCTGATGCAAGTCAATTTTTTAGAGATCTTTCTAGAACTATGTGTAAAGATGGTTCTAGTTATCAAGGGCACCATACAAATAGGAATGCTGTGTTTACCGCCAAAAAGAACGGTCTCGGTGTGTTTGATCTAGTGGATTTGTCGTATCCAAGAAGTTGTCATACTAAATTTTTGAAGTTAAAATGGAAGATGTTTGATGGTTTGGCCCATCAAGTTGGTGGAGCAGGAAATGTATTCTGCCAACTCTTTGGACAGAATGGCGGGAATGATGCTTTTTGGCTGGATAGTTCTTCTACTGACAAGGTTAGTGGCATAAGCTCATGAATCACTGTCTTCGCGGTGATTGTTATTGCTCTCTTCTGTTTTGTCAAATCTTGAGATTTGTTTGGGTTGGTTTTATTTTGCTCTGTAGAAGATTTCTTCTATTGATATGCTGTTTTTTATGTTCTTGTTCCAGGCTAGAGCCCGGTTTTCTTTCATGGGTGGCAAAGGTGGATCCCTTTGGAAGCAATTGACATTTAGATTATCTGATCAAAGGTAAATCTCTCTCTCTCTCTCTCACTCTCACTCTCTCGAAAGCCGGAATCTCTTATGTGTTTCTTGTTTCAGCGAGGTTGCATCTAAGCATTCTGGTCATCTTGTAATAGAAGATTCTCAGGGTTCTACTGAAAGAAGGTTCTTGGAAGAAGGGTTTCTTGATTTCCTCAATAAGGTATGAAGCAATAACCCTCTTCTCTGGCATAAAACCATTACATAACAAACATATGCCATAAATTTTCTCATCTTTGATATCAACCTTTCATGAATTTGGTACAAAATGTTTTGCTGTAACGGAACTATTTGAATCCGTCTATAACAGTTCTTTAACTTTGTATCAGGAGCTTTCGTCGTTTTGCTATGACGAAAAGGATTTTGACGGGCTGCCTTTCGACTTTTACGGTGGATATGTTGGCTGTATCGGGTATGTGTTAATGCCATCTATCATCATCATCATCATCTATGTGGTGAATCTCTTCCATTATCTTTACTCATGCTCCATATTATCTGTCGATTTTAAGTGGGGTGTTCCTTAAATATAAGTTTGCTTCTAGTCCTACATTTTGTATGCAATCAATATCTAAATCGATCATTGCTGCAGGTACGATCTTAAAGTTGAATGTGGCGTTTCATCTAATCGTCACAAATCCACGGCTCCAGATGCATGTTTTTTCTTTGCAGATAACATGGTGGTTATCGATCATCATCTCGATGATATTTACGTGTTATCTCTTTATGAAGAGGGTATTTCTCGTAACTCGTTCTTGGAAGATACGGATCAGAAGCTTAGGAACATTAGAGTTTGTGCCAAAAATGAACATGGGGATCAAACTCTGAAGGCTACAGCTTCATCTCCATGGAAGGAAAGTTATTTTGTTCCGGACAAATCCCGGGAACAGTATATAAGCGATGTTCGAAACTGTCTGAACTATATTAAAGATGGGGAAAGCTACGAGCTTTGTCTTACTACTCAGAACAGGAGGAAGATTAGTAGTGATATTGATGCATTGGGACTGTATCTTCACCTGAGAGAAAAGAATCCTGCGCCATATGCGGCATTTCTCAACTTCTCGAAAGAGAATTTACGATTGTGTTGCTCGTCGCCTGAAAGGTTTTTGCGGCTGGACAGAAATGGAGTTCTTGAAGCGAAACCGATTAAGGGTACTATAGCTCGTGGCTCCACAGCCGAGGAGGATGAACGTCGTAAATTCCAACTGAAGTTCAGGTACGTCAAACCTGAATCCTTCGTTATCGGTACGGACAAGTCTGACATATCACTGGAATCTCGTTTTTTTTTTTTTTTTTTTTTGGAGTGAGGAGTTAAGGTTAGGATCCATATTCTAGCATGCTTCTTGACCTGTCTTTATCGCAATTTCAAGCGCTAAACTCAACTTTGCATTGTCTTTACATTCGGTTTGCACTTCTGTCATGTCTGCTCAAATGGTTTGCCCAACCGGCCTACAGTGGGCAGGCCGGGTATTTGAGATTTTTGAGTTACCAGGATCTGAACTCGAACATCTCGAACCTCACGAGATAATATTCGATTATTGGTGCAGCATCCAAAATTGGATACCCGAGATCATTTTTGAATATTTGAAACCAAGTTTAATACAAAATTTCAGGGTTTTGTTTTTCAAAATAAATATCATATATTAGTAATTGATTCGGTCAAGTATCCGAATTTCTTATGGTTCTGCAAATCTGAACTCGAAATTTCAAGAATTTTCAGTTGATTTGTATTGTAATATCTCTAAAATCTGGGGTAAAAATGTTATTTTATTGTTCGTTCGGGTACTCGTGCGTAGTAACCAGACCCAATTACCCTAATTCAAACCCGATTTTCGGGATTTTCTCACGCTATGACCCAATCTCATCTCATATAGCACTCGGATTCCCGAAATTTGGGGGTTTTTTCCCATCCCTACCGATTGCTACTTGTGAAAATGGTCTGATTTCTGTCTTATGCCCTGACTAAAAACTCTTTGCGTTCCTTGCAACAGCGAAAAGGATCAAGCCGAGAATCTTATGATCGTGGACCTTCTGAGGAACGATCTCGGCCAAGTCTGTGAGCCAGGTTCAGTCCATGTACCCAACCTCATGGACGTGGAATCCTACGCGACGGTCCACACAATGGTGAGCACGGTTCGAGGGCAGAAAAGATCGGACATTAGCCCCATCGAATGCGTGAGAGCAGCTTTCCCCGGCGGCTCGATGACCGGAGCTCCAAAGCTAAGATCAATGGAGATTCTTGATTCTCTTGAGAGCTGTTCGAGGGGGATTTACTCGGGGTCTATCGGGTTTTTCTCGTATAACGGTACGTTCGATCTGAATATCGTGATAAGAACGGTCGTGATGCACGAGGGAGAAGCGACGATCGGTGCAGGAGGGGCGATAGTTGCGTTATCGAACCCGGAAGACGAGTTTGAGGAAATGGTTCTGAAGACGAGAGCTCCGGCTAAGGCTGTGATGGAGTTTTCAGGTCAAGGGGATTCTTTGTAGTTTAGTTACTTGCAGCGCAAGTTTAGTTACTTTTTCAAACCCATATCTACATTTGGTTTGTATTTGTGGGTGCAAACAGGTGAAATTGGTTATTATTATTTTTGTTTTGTTTTCGAAAACATATGATATAACAAGCATGAAAATTTGCTTGTTATGAATAGGCAATACAAACAATTGTAAACTCTTATTGTTTTTAATAATTATATTTTCATAAATTTTCATTCCAAAATCTGTATTTTGTGAAACAATTGAACCCTTGTATTTCTACATAGATTCCAGAGGCATTGCAGATTCCAGAGATTTCAATAGCACAAAGAAAATCGGATGGTTTCACGATTAGGTATAGAGATGGTTAATTTGGTTAACAATTGAATAAATGAACAGATCCTAACCAAATAATATACAACTGAATTGATTTTGATATAAGAATTTCAAATGGTTATAATTGAGAAATTGATTTTTTTTATTAAAAAACCAAACTCGAATCCAATCCAATATAAAAATCAAATAGTTATAACTGTTTTGAAACTAAAATAACTAAACCAACCAGTTAAATATAACGGAACCAAAACTCGGAATGACATTTATGAGAATTATTGTGCGCAGTCCCGGTTATTACCGGTTTAGCACAAGGGTAATTCCGTAAATATAATCGATATATCAACAATGACCGTTCTGTTATAAAACAGAGCCTTTTGTGCCAAGGTTTTGCGTTTGTTCATCACCCCGACACATAGGATGCGTGAATTGTTCGAATCCGAGCTTGGAGATCTCTCGTCTTCGGATCATTAATTTCTCTTATCTGTTTCTTCATTCTTCAAGCGATATCTCATTGATTCAGCAGAGTTTATTGCAGAAGATGGACTATGAAGCTATAAGTCTCTTCTTTCAGCGGATTTTTTTTTTTTGTAAACAGTCAAACCGAAACCCCGAAATTGATGGATGTATAATGGTTTCATGGCGAGCCAAAAAAAAAAAACTACACAATAATCAAAACCGAAACCCCGAAAATCGACGAAATCTCTATTCGATATACGTTTTCTGGATCTTCGATTGTAGCGAAAACCAAGAACTCAGCAACACGAGAGAGTGATGTCGATGAATTTCTCTCGGATCATTGATGTCTTTTTCCCCCCCTCTTTCTGTACTATCAAAACGAGATCCGGAGGCGCGGTTATCCATTCGCTTCAAAGCCCTCGAAACTTCGTACATCTTCACTCCCCGAAAAGTAAACACTAGCCCTCGGAACATTCGCCTATCCATCCATCCATTGACAGTAATAACACGATGTAAGTAAACTATAATCGAATCATACCCGAAAATCGATACTTTGGCTGGAAAAATCACATATTTCTTCATTTTTATCGACGGTCGAACTACGATTACTGGAACCGAAAAATGTAAAAAACAAGAATTGTAATGAAGTAACGAGGCGAGAGGACGTACCGAAAAAATGCTATCTATCGTTCTCTAGAGATAAGGGAGAGAGTCGCATTGACGGCGTTACGGGTAGTTCTCGGGATGGATTGTCTTAGGGTTACGGTCGGAGAAGCCCTGCAGCTCCTGCTCTGATGCTCTCTCACCAGTTCCCCTGCAAACCATTCCAGTTTCTCCGAATTGCTCATTTCCCCGATCCTTTTGCTCCCGAACAGTACGGATTCCACGTTCTTCTGCTTCAGCATCTCGTCCGCTATTTCCGTCAGCATTTTCACGTTCTCCGAGCTCGGATCCGTGTCTACGTTCGGACCACACGCCCCTAGCCGTGACCCGCTCGCCTGCTGCACATTGGAAAACTCCTTCAATTCTCATTTCTTTGGTATAATAAGGAACTCGAAAAAAAAAGACGAATTTTTTTCATACCTGAATCCGCACATAGTTGCTGCTTCGGAACGGTCCAAAGCCCATAGCCACGGCCTGATCAACGAACTCAGCCGAGCCATCACCCGAGATCCGGGCCATGGGTCGAACCCATTCCTTGGCCTTCCAGTTCTTAACTTGCTCGTAATCATAGTTCACCTCGAAGAGCTGACCTGTCCCAAGTGACAGAACCAACAAATCTTCCACATTCTTCGCATACGGAAACTCCAACTTGTTGTGCACGACGTGGGTGATGGCCGCCGCGGTCGGGTTGCTCATCGCGAGCCCACCCTCGACCGCCACGCACCGTGTTTTCCCATCCACCGAGCTCATACGGACCGGGTCGAACGTCCCTGGCTCGGCCCACGTGGCTCGGCAAATCTCTCGGAGCGTGAAATCGTAGCTATCGCTCTCGAGCGAGTCGGCTCGCGAGAACAGGAACGGGGCCGTTGTGATGAGGTCGTAGCAAGGGATGAGCAGTGGCTTGAGAGTGTCCTTCAAGGTTAAGTCAGCGAATGCCTCTTTCATGATCTTCTCGAGGCGGACGGTGGCGGCGGCCGTCGCGGCGGAGGAGGAGGAGCAACCGGAGCCGGGCTTCATGACCCGTTTCAGAACTCCGGCGGCTCCTCCGCCGCCGGGTCTGTAGAAGCCCTTGGCGTTGTCGACGAGGAAGCGCCACGTGTCATCCGCCTTGAAGATCGGACGATTCCCGTCCCGAGTTGCGAAGAGCATCGCGGCAACTGTCGACCCGATTCCGGAGCCGGCGGCGACGTCGAAGTAATCGGCGATCCGGGCATTCGGGTCGCCGGATTTCTGCTTCAGGGCCTGCTCCAGGTACGCGAGGGATTTTCCCGCCAAAATCCCCCTCATCCCTCCGCCGTCGATGCTCAGGATACAGATTCTCCCTCTCGAGCTCTTAAACGACAGCGACGACGATGACGACGCGGAAACGGCGGCGACGGCGGTAGGGGTCAACGGGGATCTCGGAGACGGACCGGGCTCTGACTCGGAAATGGGTCGAGGGCTACGAGGAATCCATTGCCTCGGATCTTCGTACCCGAACAAAAACTTGTTCTCGAGAATCGAGAAGATCTCGTAGCTTAGCTTGTCTGGGTCGATGCTAGGCTCGTGTGGTTTAATCGCCGCCGCCGCCGCCGCAGGACTCGGCGGAGTTCGTGGGTAACCCCTGCCGGTGCCGGAGGGGCTATGACTGACGGCTAAGTTCTTCCCCTTGGAGGAGGAAATATCCGGCGGCTGCTTCCGGCGAATAGCCGGTGACTTTGACATTATGAAAGCTCTGCGGCTATGGCGGAGAGGCTGATCAAATCGAGAGAGAAGCGTTGAAGATGGATTCAAATGAGAGGTTGATTTCGTTTTCAGTTTTTTCTTTTTAGAAAATTTAAATCGAAAAGAATTCGGAGGCAATGGTCGGACGGTTGGTCTCCCGGCGGGTCGGAGATGAGTGGGGCCCAGTCGCCGCCATTGGCAAAACCAACATGGCAGACCACTACTCGAGTTCTCTCTGGTGTCTCGTTCCCACGTCGAACGTTACGCTTAATGTTATCCCTATATACACACACACATATAAAAATATTTATAAGTTAAATATATCAACCCACTTAGTAATTAGGGATTTTAATGGCTTTTGAGTGATGAGATATGTATTAACTAATTAAGGAAATATAAATTATGTCATAAGACATAGCCATCTTTCTTCTTCCTTTTTCTATGCAGATTTAATGCGAAAAAACGTAAATTGGAAAAAAAAAAAAAAAGCGCCAAAGAAAGTAAATTCCTTTAAGATTTTGTGGCAAGTGTAAGTATTTTTTTTGGCTGTATGTAAAGAATAATACTTTAAAACACTTATAGAAACTTGTAAACTAATAATCCCCCATAAAGTTGGGCTTATATTTGCAAAGATATCTCCCAATTTTAACTGTTTTTACTATTTTATATACATACACAGATATATATACATACACACGTATATATATATATGTAAGCGTGTACTCTATGTTCATGAGAAATAAAACACAGAATAATATAGCGTGTACAGATGAAATTTGTAGGTTATAATATGTATTGGACAGATGGCAGGAGGAGAGTAGAGGAACAGAGATTAATTAGTTCGTTATAAGATTGTTAGTTATAGGTTATGATATATATATATATATATTTGGCGTTCGAATAAGGTTTGGATGGAGAATGGTTTGGTTCGATTCATTTTTTTGGGTTTTACAAAATTAGATACTAATTATTATTATATTATATTTGATTTGATTCGACTCCGATTGTGATTCGGTTTGATTTCAGTTTTTATTCAAAAATATATCTCTTTATAAAAATTTAGTTTTCGGGTTTTTTAAAACTTTGAATTTTTAAATTTTTTAAAATTTTGATTTTTCTAAAATTAATATTGTTCGATAAAAATATCATATTTTTTTTTCGATACAAACAACCCTCCCATATATATATATATATATACATATAGAAAAAAGAGGCATGTCTCATAAGACATACTTATATATATAATATCTTTTTTAGGTTTAGTTTAATTATTATTATATATATATACATACATATAGAAAAAAGAGGCATGTTCTTATAAGACGATATATATATATATATATTCTTTTTTAGGTTTAGTTTAATTATTATTATATACATACATATAGAAAAAGGGGGGCATGTTCTCATAAGACGATATTTCGAGGGTAATCCAGAAATAACAGATATTATAGGGACTTTAATGATATTAGCTCAAAGTGTTCTTTCTAGCAAAATTATAACTTTTCGAACTCGACCCCCCATCTCTCTCTAACATTTCGAAGAGAGCGTTCACCGGATCCACGTGGTACGATCTTCCTGTTCAAATTTCTGTCTTCCTTGATCTAGGATCTCTGTCGATTTTGACCAGTGATTTTGGGATCCCTATCGTGTCTTAAACTGAGGATATGTGTGTTCTGATGGAATTTTGGATATGATCTTGCATGCTCAATTGATGGGTTCCTGTTCGAATGCTTTGATCGTTTATGTTTTCTTCGATTTTGAGTGATTGTGTTGTCGTGATCCACTTGTCGTGCGATTTTCTCGTTTGAATCGAAATTTCATCCGATTTTTCGTGTGAATCGAAGCAAATAGCACACTAATCTCGATAATGCAATGGCGGGTTTCGCCTATCGCATGCGATGCGATGGTTTGGTCGGACTGATGATTCGGATTAGGCTCAGGGTATGGGTTTTGTCGAAAGATTAGAGCCTCAATTTCGCTTCTTAGATGTCGTTTGTGGTCCGATCAAAACCCACAATGTTGTCATCGGAATTCTTCTTAGGCATAGGAGGAACCGAGTGAATCTCGTGGGTTTTTGCTTGTACTTGTTTCCTGTACATCACTTTCTTCTCATAGTTCATAGATCTCAAATTGTTTGGCTTTTATACGGAAGAATATTTGTTATCATACTTTGATGAATCCGCATTGTTCATAGATGATACTATTTCTCCTTGTACACTAGTGTGATTATGTTTCTCCTCTCTTTAGTCTACTGATTTCTCAACCCAACCTTTCAGTTTAATCTTCTGATGGTGTTCTCTTCTATGAAGACGAGTTTGTTTTGCAAAACAGCTTCAGGGTTTTTCAAGAACTAGTTAGGTTAAATAACTGTTTCGTGCATCGATGATTAAACGATTTTTACAATGTCTGTTTTTGTTTTTGTGGTTTAGTTTTCGGTCGATTTCTTCTTTTGAAAGCTAATGATGCAAGTGATGTTTTGATGGTAATTTTGACAGTGCAGAGAAGTTTTGTAACAATGGAGTCAAGCAGGGGGCAGAATGGCATCCAACTTTTACTCGCTGCAGAACAAGAAGCTCAGCAGATTGTCAATGCCGCTCGGAACGGTAAGTTCCATGGAATTGTTTCAGAAGATACCCTTTTCTTTCGGGTTCTTTTTCTAGATTAGCCGAAACTCGTCCAGAAGAAAGGATTTGCATTGTTTAGTTTATGTTCTGTGTCATTGCTTTCCTATCAGGTTCAAAGTTTCTTTTTTTTTTATTTGTATCTGCTTATGGAAGTTGCATGTGTTTTTTCTTGCCAAAATCCAATATTATGTGATATATATATGGCTATTCTTTTTTCCAGCCAAAATGGGGAGGCTGAAACAGGCAAAGGATGAAGCTGAGAAGGAGATTGCCGAATTCCATGCCAATGTGGAAGCTGAGTTCCAGAGAAAAGTGGCGGAGGTTCATAATATAAAACTAAGATCTATATCTATATATTTCAAACCAGAGTCTCTATTTACATTTGATCGATTTTCAGACAAGCGGAGATTCGGGTGCTAACGTGAAGCGGCTTGAGCAGGAAACAGACTCGAAAATCGAACAACTTAAGACACAGGCTTCCGATATATCCCATGATGTCGTTCAGATGCTTCTGAAACACGTAACAATGGTGAGGAACTGAATTTTTTTAAAAAAAACATGGCCTTGGTAAGCCGAGCTTTGCTTCCTGCATATTCGTTTTCCGATCTCTAAATCCGGATAGGCATCGTTTGTGTTCATCGTTCGTTTGTTGCTAAACTTGTTAATGCCTTACTCATGTTTCGGTTTGTGAAAGAAATCATCCGATGATTTAACGCTGATCGGACCCTGTTGGATTTTCGATGAATTTCTCTCGGATCATTGATGTCTTTTTCCCCCCCTGTAGCACATTTGGTCCGATTTTTGTGAACTTTAGAAGGAAAAAAGAAAAGAGAATAGCGATAAGTTTACAAGATTTTTGGCTAATTTATGGGTTTAGGGTTTTCGTAGCGAGAGATCGGCTGTTATTCCAATGGTAAGATAGCTTCGAGCATCTAATTCTAGGCCTATTTTACTTCTCGATTTTCATAGTTGGATTTTGCGGGTATTTGCTGACCGGAGGAATCGGTATTCGGTAACATGGAATATCCGGTTTTCGGATTTGTGTTCGGATAAGTTTGGATTGCGGATGGATAATTCGCAATTATCCAAATAAGTGATGAAATTTGCATTTTTGAAACATTCAGATGATAGTTTTTTTTTTTTAAATTTTTGGTTTTATTTTTGGGTTTTTAGTTTTTATTTTTTGGTTTGTTGCTTTTGTATTTTTAATAAAATTTCCAATTGGAAAAGTACTATTTTAGCTTTTAGTTTTTAGATTTTATACGCAAAATTATCAAAAAAAGTATATATATATATATATATATATATATATAAAGTTGAAGTTTTCTTTAAAATCGTAGATATTTTAGTCTTTTAAATATTTTATATAATTAATATTTTAAAGAAAATGAAATAGTGTAATGAAAAATCAGATTTTCTTGAAAATCCTATAAAAATGAGTTTTTGGATCTTGATTTTTTCTACAAAATAGTTTTGAAAACTAAAATTATAAAAAATTTTGACTGATTATTTTTTTGGTTTTAGATTTTAAAAGCCCAAATACCTCCACGATTCAAAGCCTCGTTCTGGTTTATTCCTAAGAGATATCTGAAGTTCTGTATCCGTCGATTAAAGCTTCGGGATCGAGTCATGGGTTTTAAAATTCAAATAATTTGGATTTAGGGCCGAATACTCTCGCATTTCCCAAATACGTCTGACGCATAACTGCGGAATACCCTAAAACGACATCGTTTGTACATATTTTGATTTGACAATGATTGTCGGCGAATTTATTAATTCTATTTTAATTAGCCAATCAGGCCCACTGAACTGGGCCCAGGCCCAGGGCACCAAATATTTAAAATTATTTCGAAATAAGTTATTACACAGTAGAGGAGCTTAAATCGTGACATCACAGGCCACGTGGCACACTCCTATTGGGAGAACGATACGACGTTTAATCCCCGCCGTCCGCGGCGGTGGCGGCGGCGCGTGAGGCTCGGCTCCTCAGCCACTCCAACATGTCGGAGAAGACCAGATCACAGTTCTCCTCCGGTTCGCCGACTAGCTGATGCCACATCCCAGGGTAGATCTTGATCGTCTTGTCTACGCTCTTCGCTCGCCGGTGAAGCTCCTCCACGCACGCAGGGTCGCAGACGACGTCGTCGCCCCCGTGAACGATCAGAATCGGAACCTCCACCTCCTCGAACCTTCCCTGTAGATCCTTGCACACGCGCACGAGCTCGTACGGGAGAACGATACGACGTTTAACCCCCGCCGTCCGCGGCGGTGGCGGCGGCGCGTGAGGCTCGGCTCCTCAGCCACTCCAACATGTCGGAGAAGACCAGATCACAGTTCTCCTCCGGTTCGCCGACTAGCTGATGCCACATCCCAGGGTAGATCTTGATCGTCTTGTCTACGCTCTTCGCTCGCCGGTGAAGCTCCTCCACGCACGCAGGGTCGCAGACGACGTCGTCGCCCCCGTGAACGATCAGAATCGGAACCTCCACCTCCTCGAACCTTCCCTGTAGATCCTTGCACACGCGCACGAGCTCGTACGCCGTGGCGGCGCGTGGCCTCGCCACCGTCCTCCTAGGGCTCGCGAGCGCGAGCTTCTTCTTCCATGGTTCCTTGAAGGAAAGATCGGGGATCGATCCGCGCGTGGGGATGACGCGCCAGGTAGGGATGAGAGTCGCGACGACGAAGAGCAAGTGCTCCAACGGCCATGGAGGTTTGAATTTAGCGCTGATTCCGCACATTGCTCCGTTGAGGATGAGACCGTCCCAGCGAGATTTCTGCCGGATCGCGATGTAGAGCGCTATTGCGCCGCCGAGGGACTCGGAGTAGAGGAAACAAGGCAAATCCGGCGACACGTGGCGGCTGCGGAAGTCGTCGAAGAAGGAGATGCAGTCGTCGACGACGGGGTTGATGTCGGGGATGTGAGCACCGAGGCCGTCGGAGAAGCCATGGCCTTGGTGGTCGATAGCGACGGCGATGAAGCCGGATTTGGCGAAGAGGATGGAGGTAAGTTGAAGGAACCAACTGGATTCGCCGGTGAAGCCATGGACGACGGCAACGAGGCCGAGTGGACGGGAAGGAGGGAGAGGGGACCACCACTGAGTGAAGAGCTTGAGGCCGCGAGAGTTGGTGATGAAGGCGGAGGAGTGGGTGACGCCATGGCGGTTGTAGAATTCCTCGGCGGAGAGATCGCCGAAGGGGCTTTTCTCGTTGGCGTCCGCCACCGGATGCAGCCCCATTTTTGTTAGGGTTTTTTCTTCCCCAGAGAGAGGTGAGGAAGGCGTGAGTGGGTGAGGGGTTATACGGTTGGGGGATAATAAATAAATGAGCCTGGATGTAGCCATGCGTTTGGTGTGGGACTGTAAATGCTCTCTCATTTTCCTTTTCTTATTCCATTCAATTTATTTTTTTCGGCTTATCATAATAATAACATTTAGTAGTTGGATAATTTGTTTTTCAGTTTTTAAGGAAACGGGAGAAATTGGAGAGCCATGTTATTTATTATATACTTGTTAGTCGAATGCCGGGATTTTTTGGTGCACCCCGGACTCGGCCTCATATTGTCGCATTCTCGATCTAACTAGACCGAGTACCCACGGATATCCAAAAATTCGCATGTTTCGAGTACCCGTGCCTACCCCACCATGCAACGTACTCTGTTTCAGCTATGCCCCAACGGTATTGATTGATCTTTGGATGATAACCTTACTCGAAAACCCTTAGATTTAGCATGTTAGATTCTGTTACAACACAACCCTACTTTCCATCATTCGTTTCCTATATTTAGACGGTTGATGGATCATTAGCGTGATGCTGTAATGATGTTAAAGGTACTTCGATATCTATTAGTTAAACCCGAAACGAAAACGTACCAATTTCATGTCAGAAAATCGAAAAAAATCGAAAGGCGTATAAAGCAACGTATCAGACAGGATAGACGACCAGCTAGGAGGTCTGCAAATTCAAGCGCTCATCTCGTATTTAGTATAAGCTTGACAGTAATGATATCAGCCGCATCTACACTATGCATAACAGAAAAGCCCGGTTTTTTTTTTTATACGTTCTCTCGACCTTCAACTACTCTTATGTCGTCTTAATCTGCGCGCAGATTCTTGGGGCCGAATTCACAAACCAAATCCATCATAGCATTCGAAAAGGGATAACTAACTCCAGAATGACAGTGTGTTTCAAGAAGCGCATGGTTCCAACATGCAATCAAGTCATCAGCACAAGGGTAATCCAATTGAACATCAGTTCTCTGTTTTGTTTCCCAACTAGGATTGGAGCTCTCAAATGGAGAAGCAAAAGCTGATTAAGCAAACAACCAAGAATCATATTGCAACAAAACGCTATGAGATCAAGCTCTCAAACGACTAGTAAATGATAGTCGCTCACTGATACGTAATTTTTACAGTGAAACCACTATGATTAATTACATCATATAATTTTAATGGTGTGATCTTAAAATAAATCGCGATGATCACATAACAAATGATGTAGAAGGGTGAACATGTAATATAGAAATGGAGAATAATCGGCATTCGAAGAGAGAAAGATTATTTTAAAATTTTAAATTATTTTAAAGTTACGGGAATCAATATAAATAAACAAAATAAAATCTAATTTTAAAAATAATTTTCGATTTGATCCAAAAATTTTCTAATCTCATTAAAAAATATTAATTCCTTTAATCTGTTTGATTTTCCAACTTATTTTTTTAACAAAATGTAAAGGGGGTTCTTGTTGCTGCTATTCAAGACTACACTAGACATCGTATGTACACAACCCAATTCACAGAGACCAAAGACTTGGAAAAAAACTAACCCATCGATCAATATATACACGAGAGGAGATCCACATCATAAGATGGCTTGCAAGTCAAGATGGCCAGAAAAACCAGCTTCCATCACTCGTAGGATTTCGGACGCGTTGAATCTGAAGTTCCTAAGACTTTGTCCGGGCCCTGTGTCCGGACGAGGAAGGTGATGATGATGATGCTCAGTTGCAGGCTTCTTCCTACTACCCTTCCCCTCCGACTCCATTGTTGCGGCGCTGTTCCCGACGAAAGCCTGGTGATTAACTTTCCACACGCAGAGTGCTTCTTGGACCAAAACAGAAAACCGGTTTAATACCCCCGTCTAAATCTTACACTTTTTAATTATCTCTGCCATGTTTGTGAAGAAATCTGGAGGTCTGAGGGGAAAACCTTTAAGTGGGACGTCAGGTCTCCGAGTTACAGGCGCAGGGTGCTTCCATATCCACGACATCAACGATCTTTGCAGATTTTCGTTATCTTGCAACGTTAGGCAGCAAGAAAAAAAAACAACTGGCGGGTTTCAATGGATACTTAAAATCGAGGGTAATTACTACTCACGCGAGAAAAGGTGCCACCATGTACAGCTTAAGACCTGTAACTCCACGAGTTATCACCTGAGTGCTCGCTGGCTGAAGATCATCAAGCCGATGCCATGCAATTTCCTGTAAAAAACAAAAGACAACGAAAAATTGCTACTCACATCATAAGACCAGGCTCGATGCATTATGCATTCTCTATTCTCGGAGAGTTTACATACACTGATCTCTTTCTTCGTTTGTGGTGCAAAAGATGTAGAATCTTTCACCCCGGGAATGATAAAGAGCCGTACTCTTTGCTGCCTGGATACAAATTCAATGTATTCCTCCTTCTTCAGTAGCTCTGAGACATCAAATCCAGTTTCCTCTAGGACCTGTGTTCAAACATACAAGACAAGTAAAGAACAAGGTCACAAATGGAGAGAAAAAAAAAAAAACAGTCCTAGTTACAATACTAATACATCAGAAAGCAAGCAAATTCTTAAGAGCAGATTGAAGATTGAATTGATAAGTCAATCATGCAAACATAAAGAATTTGATTCCCCCATTCACCATACAGCCCAGACGTTTAGCTTCGGCTAGATAACGAGCAATTTTCTTTTGAGAACTACCAAACTGAAACTCCTTGTATAATTAAATATTCATAAGCTCAAGCAGGAAAAAAAACTATTGTTTGCTAGTACAGATACAAAAAAAAAAATCAGTACTCACTTCGCGTATGGCACATTCATGGTCCTCCTCGTCCTTGCTTATCTTTCCACGAGGAAAACTCCAGCTTGAACCTTTCCATCCTTTCACCAGCAGGCACTGAAATTTGCAAAATTTGAGAGCAAGACAAACATTTTCCACAAGTAATTCTAACTAAATCTCATCCGTAAAAGAAAAAAAAGAAAAGATCTAAGGAGATCTTCGATACCACTAAGGGATGTTACCCGTTCATATGTCTCATCGAGGATGATTGCTCCAGTCACAGGAACACGGAACTTGTAAGAAGTGAAGTCTTTGAATATGTCATCGATATGAGCGACATAAGGTCTCAACACATCACAACTGTTAAACACTAGCAAATGTCAAGGGAAACAATACCAAGAAAAGAACACAAAACACGAACAAACTACGGGGAGGAAAAGAAATCGGTCTATGGTACAAGTGAATTGAAAGTCATCATAAGCTCAGCTACTCATTTGATCATAAACTTCTTGAATACCAAACTTCGTTTATAAATTACATGTCGGCCTCCGATAATTTGTTCCTGAAAGCCATCTCAGAGAACATTTTTCATCATATAGACACACGGTGAGAGCGCAGAGTAATAGCCTAAGCCTCCAGTGATCACTTTTGAAGATGGGTTCCGAGCCAATACGAACAGTCCTCGACTTCAAGACAAGAGGATAAGAGCAAACATTGGATCAGAGAGCCACCAAATGCAAAGAAAATGAAAGGAAAAGGATACAAAGTGAAGTGAACTCCTTCAAAGTCAGTGATTTCAGCGTCGGATCTTTTTCCACAGAATTATCTTCGTAGTACCAATAGGCATACTCCACAAGAAACAGAATTCGCTCGAACGACTGCTGATCTTCTTCTGGGACATTCAGAACAAATCGACTGCAATAACCCACCAAATCCTGGATAGGTCAACATCAACAAAGATACCACTACGATTCGAACCAAAGTGATTCCATAACTACACGATCTAGCCAACATTTTTACCAACCATTTTCTGGGAAACAGGTCAGAGGAAACGAGAGAAACCCAGAAGACGGAAAGACCGTACCTACAGAGATCGTCCAGAAGTTCCTTGGAAGGGAGAGAACCGCCGCTGTTCTTCGATGGGGCGCTTGATGACCGATGGAGACCAGACATCGTTTCTTCTTCTCGCCTAGTGAATGTCCTAAAACCCTAATACTGAACAATAAAAAGGATCTCTATCTCTCTCTGCCCCTTCGACGATTGGCTAGAAGTTTTTGGTGAGTTTTCTTTTGGCTGTTTCTCCCCTGCGATCGAGAGAGGGAAGAGAGCTCTCGGCGGAGAAATCTCTGATCGTTCTAGAGAAGAAGAAAGGCTGATTCGAGGGACAGGGGGAGAGAGAGGGGGGAAGGGAGAGCGCTTTTTCGTCGGTCTCAATCAAAGTGGGGCAATCGCACACCCGGATTGGTTGAAGATAGGGGTGAATATATCTTCGATTTTATTTTTTTCTACATTTTTATAATATTATATTTATTTTTTTTAAATTTTATAAAAATGATTTTCTAATTGCATATACTCGATTTCAAGTCATATAAACCCCAATGCAAAATCTGTGAATTCGGATCTAAAATCAAATTGAATACCATAAGTATCCAAAAAAACTTTTGAAAATATCAATTTTTTGTTACTCGTATTTACGCTTTTACCTATCTAAAATCCCTAATCACCAAACTCCGAATACAAATTCGAAAATTTCAAAATATTTGGGTATTCGGATATTGTTTACTGTAACGACATAAAATATTAATTATCGATCAATTTTGAAATTGAACCAAACAAATTGAATCGAACACAACATAGAAATCTAATGAATATTTTTTTTTTAAAAAAAGAAAAATTTCAAACCCAAATATATCCGAATCCGATTCAATCTCCATTAATACACAGATAGTTTCGTTATTCCATAATCTCAAGCATGTAGTACGTCTCTTCTGTGTGTTTTTGTCTATACAAATTGGAGAGAAAAAAATGATCAAAACATAAGTTTACACACACAGATTGTAGGCGAATTCGCACCTCGGAAATCTAAACACAAAGATTTCAGATACCAAAACGTACCATAATCTAATATCCGACACCGAATTGGGTTTTCCAATTCTCAAATTCATCAGAAAAACGGGGAATAAGAAGAAGAAATCTCAGGGATCGGAGACATAATTTACACGCCAGGGAGATGCAGAGATCTACCTAGCTAGTAGGGTTGAAAAGGGATCGGAAAATTCTGGAGAAAACCAGACGGATCCGAGGGAACGTACGGAGAGTGACTATGACGGTCTGACGGAGCGTATCCTCTACCGTCTCCACGAACAGATTCAGACTCCTCACCGGCGGCACGTATAGCGTCAACGGAACCGCCGAGAACGCTACCGCGAAGAACAATTGCAGCATCTCCCTTCTCCGGTGATTCCCGTTTCGATTTGTTCTTCAGATCTCCGTTGGAAGTTTCCTTTCCGATCGTTTTTCTCTCTCGATTCTGCAGATCTCTGGTTGTTTTCGTTGTCGGCAACTCCCTTTCCGATTGTTTTTTTATCACGATTCAGCAAACCTCCGGGGTCGATCTTCGTGGAAAATTCCTTTTCCGATCGTTGATTTCAATCAGCTCTTCATATCTCATGGAAATTTTCCCGTTCCAATCGATTTCTCTCACGAATCTGCAGTTCTCCGCCCCCGATCTCTGTTCGTGTTCCGGTTCCTTCTTCTAACGATTCCGTAGCCCCCCGATCTGGCTCGCTGGAAATTCGCTTTTCGATTTCTTTAGCCAACGATTGGTGCAGACCTCCGATCTCGATCTCGATCTCGATTGTATTTCTCCCTACTCTCGAGACCTTCTATCTCGGTTCCCACCGAATATTCCCTTTTCCGATTGTGTTAGCGATTCTGCAGATCTCCGGTCGTCGGTGCCCTATTCGACCCTGAGAATCTGAGGTCATATGGATAAGTTTCTCCAAATGGTTTTCAATAATTCACGGGGAGAGAGGAGACATTTCTAAACTATTATTTTTTTTAAAATATAGTGTGTTTAATATTATTATTCCAATAGGAATTTGGTAATATTTGAATATTTATATATATTTACATATCTTCATGCATTTTAAAATAACTAATGAAATCTCAAGTTAGGTTAGACTTATATAATTCACCATTTTCGTCTTTTCGACTCTTAACTAGGGGTTTGAATTCTGTTTTGGATATGGAGTAATTCAGTTCTTTATCGTTTTGAATGCGTATAATTTATATATATATATAAGAATAATTAATGTATTTATATAGAAAAAAAATATGTGTTAAGGTCCGATAAATTTTCAAATTAACAAATCTATATATATATATATATATCATAATGTTTATCTTATGCGATCTAATGTTTTTTGGGGAAGAGTTTGAACCAATATTTAGGATTTTTATTTAGTTATATTTTTATTTAGGTTTGAAAATTTTCAAATAAAAATAATTTCTTATTCTGATATCAATTTGGATAACAAGCTATTTTAATTTTTTTTGTTTCATTTATTTTTCAAATAAAAAGGTAAATATCGATTTTGTAGTTTATCATGAAACCTCACAATTTAATGGTCTCGGGGGCTATGCGGACAATGTAAATATTGAGGTTTAATTTAGTAAATAAAATAAAGTAAAGGACCTTTTTGCAAACTTTCGTTAAAAATAATTACTTTTTTTTTGTTTTCCCTCGTTCACGTGGGTCTTCCCCTCGAGTCGTCTTCCCTTTTGCTACCTTCTCCTCACTTTCCCATTTCTCCCTTTTCTGGTCTCTCTCTCTGCAATTATCAGACCGCAAGCTCATCTCACTCAGCTTCGAGCTTCGATCATGGCGTCACCCATCGAAGACGGTAAGAAAGAGCTCATGTTTTCTCTATGTCATGTCATCTGGATCTTTGATAGATTTTGTTTTCTGTGAATCGATCGGATTGTGTTTTAGCAGGAAGATTCTCTGTCTTGCAGAGCCATTTTTGCGTTTTTATTTTTCCTACGTGGATTGATTGATTGGTTTTGTTTGCGTGATTGTCGGAGAGAATCTTCAACCGTTCGGACATGTGATCTTCATTTTCCGTGTCTTGTCTGTGGAAACCCAAACCAGGAATATACATCAATGATTAGAATATTATATCCACAGATGATAAACTGGTAACTGGATTGACAAATCCGTTGGAGTTGGAATACGCATATAGTTATATATATATATGTGTGTGTGTGTGTATGCTCGTCTAGATTAACTTAGAGCTGAGATTTCTTTGACTTTCTGGGTTTCTCGTTCATGTCTTGAGTATCTTTGTTCATCATCCTTTTCAACAAATAGTTGAATCTGTAGGAGGAGAAAGAGATTTAGAGAAGGGAACGATGAATTCACGGTCGAATCAGAACCAAAACCCTATTATGGATCCATCACCTACGCCTTCCCCATCGGCCACTGCAACTGCCCCGGCATTGGTCTTGTCCAATTCAGGCAAGAGAATGGACCAGGCAGGGAGAAAGAAGTACGTGAAACAAGTCACCGGTCGCCACAACGATACCGAGCTCCACTTGGCAGCTCAACGAGGGGATCTGGCCGCGGTCCAGCAGATTCTGACGGACATCAACTCGCAGATGGAAGGGACTTTGAGCGGGGAGGATTTTGATGCTGAGGTGGCCGAGATCCGGGCAGCGATCGTGAACGAGGTGAATGAGTTGGGAGAGACTGCCCTTTTCGCGGCCGCAGACAAAGGGGATCTCGATATCGTTAAGGAGTTGTTGAAGTATTCGAACAGGGAGAGCATTTCGAAGAAGAACCGTTCTGGATTCGATCCTTTGCATATAGCTGCCATTAAAGGGCATCATGGTAATGTTTTGAGTCTTCTACTTAACGCGTTATTCCGTATTTCTACGTAATGGCGCATTATTAATACGTTCTCTTTCTTGCAGCTATTGTTCAGGTCCTGTTAGATCATGATCCGACACTTAGCCACACGTTCGGGCCCTCAAATGCGACTCCTCTCGTATCCGCAGCAATGAGAGGCCATACAGCCGTTGTCAACGAACTCTTATCGAAAGCTGGGAATTTGCTCGAGATTTCTCGGTCTAACGGTAAAAACGCCTTGCATTTTGCGGCGAGGCAAGGGCATGTGGAGGTCGTAAAAGCCCTTCTCGCCAAGGATCCACAGTTGGCACGGAGGATTGACAAGAAAGGACAGACCGCCCTTCATATGGCGGTAAAAGGACAGAGTGCCGAAGTGGTGAAACTGCTTCTCGAGGCCGATCCCGCCATCGTTATGCTTCCCGACAAGTCTTGTAACACCGCATTGCATGTCGCTACGAGGAAAAAGCGAGCAGAGGTAGATTCATCCCGAGTTTTTTCAAACATGTATTGGTTGGTGAAGAATTTTCGGTTCGCCCGAGATCGCTGTTTCAACTCTTGATGTTTTGTTCGGTACTTGCAGATTGTAGAACTGTTGTTGTCATTGCCCGATACCAACGCGAACGCCCTAACCCGGGATCGGAAAACCGCGCTGGACATAGCGGAGGGGCTTCCGCTTTCGGAAGAATCATCGTACATAAAAGAATGCCTGGTTAGCCGCGGGGCCCTCCGGGCGAACGAGCTGAATCAACCGAAAGACGAGCTGAGAAGCACGGTGAGCCAGATCAAGAACGACGTCCACATCCAGCTGGAGCAGACGAAGAGGACGAACAAAAACGTACACAACATCTCGAAGGAGCTGAGGAAACTCCACAGGGAAGGCATCAACAACGCGACGAACTCGGTCACGGTCGTGGCCGTGCTCTTCGCCACGGTGGCATTCGCGGCCATTTTCACGGTCCCGGGAGGAGACAACAACGACGGGAGGGCGGTGGTGGTGAGCCGGACATCGTTCAAGATCTTCTTCATCTTCAACGCGATCGCGCTTTTCACGTCTCTCGCGGTCGTCGTGGTCCAGATCACGCTGGTGAGAGGAGAGACGAAGGCGGAGAGGAGGGTGGTGGAGGTGATAAACAAGCTGATGTGGCTGGCGTCGATGTGCACGTCGGTGGCGTTTCTGGCGTCGTCGTACATAGTGGTGGGGAGGAGGCACAGGTGGGCGGCGGAGCTGGTGACGGTGGTGGGGGGAGTGATAATGGCGGGGGTCCTGGGGACGATGACCTACTACGTGGTGAAGTCGAAGAGGACGAGGTCGATGAGGAAGAGAGTGAAGAGCGCCAGGAGGAGCAGCTCCAATTCTTTTCACCATTCCGATTTCTCCAACTCGGAGGTCGACCCCATTTTCGCACTCTGACCAATTGCCTTTTCACTCTTCCTTCCCTCCTGTACATACATCTCTCTCTATCTATATATATATATATATATATGGCGACAGAGACGAGAATGTGTACGGTCATCTTCATTGGAATTACAAGGATGATGATGACTCCTTTCTTTCTCTTCATTATGAGTTAATGGCGGTCAATTTGGAACTAAACGGATTCGAATTTAATAATTTGATATAACAATCGAACAGTTTTTAAAATGAATAAATTGATTCGAACTGAATAATTTTTTTAAAAAAAATAAGATTTTAAAAACATTAGTATTTTTATTGGTAAAAATCGAAATTAAATCGAATCTGAATAAAGATAAACCTCAATTATCTATATACAAAAAAATCCAAACAAAATATTAAAATAATCTAAAAATATAATAATTTTTATGAAACTAATATATCATATTAAACATAAGTAATAATTATACAATTATATATATATATACATAAATTAGATTTTAAATTATACACTAGTAAAATTATAATTGACAATTAAAATGTATTAACTTTTAAAGATTTTATAATATGCAACTACCTACAAATGTATAAATTTAATTTATAAAGTATAAAAAGCCATTGTATTTATTACTTTTCTATTTCAATTTGAAAAATATATTTATAATATTAAGTTTTTTTATTATTAACATATTAAAATTAAATTTAAAAGTATAAATTAATAAAAATATTTTATAGTATATTTGAATTTTTAGATAATTGAGGTTCTGAAATAACAGAGAGAAATAGAAAATACGTTATTATTAATATCTTATATCGTATAATTAACAAAATTGAAAACCTAGACGAACGTTTAGCAATTTGAAATTGAAATTTGAATTAACAGAGAGAAATTTGGAATTTCGAAGCCTATAATATCAAGATCCCAACGGCTAATCCACACACATTGCTCTCTCTCGCTCTCTCTTCTTCCACACCACATTGCGATCTCTCTCTCGCTCTCTCTTCTTCCACTCACATTGCGATCTCTTTCTCTCTTGCTCTTCTTCCTGAATTCTCTGCTGTTGTACTGTTCTTGATCTTCTGTTTTCGTGTTTGATTTCGGAGAAGGATGACAAAGATGTCCAAGATTTTCGGTATCCGACGCAGAATTCCTGTCTTGACGGTGCGGAAGAGACGGAGCTCTTCGTCTCCTTCTCTTTCTTCTAGGGTTCCCATCCAACCACAAAACCCAGAGCCCGTCAGCTCCAACGGCCTCAAGATCCGATCAGCGTCGTACGATTCTCTCGGTACACTAACCGGTTGCATCGACACCATGAACGAAGATGTCCGACAGCTCTTCCTGTCTTCCGACAGGGATCTTCGGAAGAACCCAGATCTGCTTGACCTGGCCAACGATTTCTTCAACACAAATGCTGAATTATATGTTCTCTGTGAATCTCTGAAGAAATCTCTGGGGAAAGCTGATCTTGGAGAAACCCTAATTCTCCACATTCTCTCTGGTTTCGTGGAGGAAAAGAGAGAAGAAGGGAATTTCAGCAAAACTCTCCAGAATCTTAGGAGTTTCAAAGATTTCACCAGCGACGACCCTTTCGCCGGAGAATTCACCAAGCTGTTTAAGAGCTGTCACGCCGATCTCGTCAAGGTGATCGGAAAACTGAATCTGACGACCAAAAAGCTCAACAGGAAACTCCGGAGAATACGCCGGCGCCGGAGAGTTACGATAACGCTGTTCCTCGCGGCGGTTGCCACCGTGGTTATCTCGGCTGTCCTGGTCGGTGTAACGGTGGCTCCGCCGGTGCTGGCAGCGTTGGGAGCCGCCGTCTCGTTCGTGCCGATGGGTTCTCTGGGTGTTTTCATTTCCACCGTATGGCTGAAATCGCGAAACGCTCTGAAACGCCAAAAGGCAGCGATTAGTTCGATGGAGCGGGGGACGGGTCTTGCGTTGAGCGAAGTCGCGAAAATCAGCGGTTTGGTGAATCAATTCGAGGACGTGATGAAATCAATGGAGGAGACGGTGGACAGCGCGGCGGCGGAGAAGAAATCGCGGTTGGAATGGGTGATGGGCAAGGTGGAGAAGGACTTGCTGACGTACAGAAACGTCATCAGCGTTTTGCGGCGCGAAGGGGGGCGGTGCGACCAGGACGCGCGTTTGAGCAGAGACGTTGCTCGGGACAAGATAACCCAATACCTCTGTGAATGATTTTTTTTTTTTGTATTAGATTGTAGATATTTTGTTTTTGGTGTGTGGAGTTCTCTTTTTTACTTAGACTCCCACCACCAAGTTTACTAATAAAAATAAAGAAATGGGTAATAAATGGTATTATGTGTTTTTTGCTGTGAGAGTTTTGGGCGGAAATGGGCCGTTTTTATCACTATTTTTTTTAAATGTTTTATTAATTATTAGTTAACAAAATGGAAATTCTAAACGATATTTGTATAGGGTTCTTTAAATATTTTTAAAAAATCGTTAATTTATGTGTTAATATAGATAGTTTCAACTACGGGTAGATATTTTTGGTATTCGGTCGATTCGTTTCTTTCTAATTTATAAAATATGTACCAATAGGTTATTATATCAAATTTAGTTTGGTTCAATTTTGATTGCAATTCGATTCGGTTCCCTTTTTTATTAAAAAACTTAGATCTTTTTAAGAAATATTCAGTTTATCCGTTTTGGTTCAGTCTAATTCGGTTTCAAAATTTTGATTTTCTATCAGAAATTTTGAACTATTTGGATGGAAAAAAATAAGCATTTTCGGTTTGATATTTTCAAATTACCGTATTTTTAAAAATATTTAAAAAAATACCGAAAACGGGCGTTTCGGTTCGGTTCGTCCCGTTTCTACATCTCTTAAAAAATATTATTATTATTATTATTATTATTATTATTATTATTATTATTATTATTATTATTATTATTAT